CAGAGAGATGCTACCTTCGCAAGTCAGTGTCTGAGTATATTCAGCATACGCAAATCCATAAAGGGACACATGCATTTCAGTTTTAAAATTTGAAAAGGTCTAACATGACAGCACGATATCATTTTGCTTTACAGTAAATGTGATACGCCTGGCAAAAAAAAAAAAGGAATTTCCTTCTTGAACAATTATTGTTGTTAGTCCGGCCCACTTTAAGCTCCAGCTGTTCCAATGAATAAATTTGAAAAACAGTGGGAGAAGGTGAAGGTCATTGTGCGCTGGAACCTCCCTCTAAAATGCTGAATCCTCTCTATGGATGTTATGACTGCATGATGAACATTTTGTATCTACTGGTATATCATTGTTACCCAAGGAAAAAATGAGTATCTCTGAAGTTTTTTGCTCACCGTTACAGAAAGGTCAAACATGGCAAACATATTTCTAGCGACTGCAGTGATGGTATTTTTAGCAACTACTATCATACTGGTCTAAGCGTAGCAAAATTACTCCCTGTGCCTACTGAGTAGAGACAATGAAGAGAGCAGGAGACGACACACTGCCACCAAACTGTCAAACTAAATTGTTAAATTCTTTATGGGGTGCACTTTACATGGCACTCATAACATTACAGTTGATAAAACATTAACAAGAAGGTGCAAAGCCTCAAAATAAATCTGACAGAGACAACTGCTCCGTGCAGAGGCAAGTCATTCCCTCCCCCGTCTGGTGACGCAGTTCACTACCCCTCACTATAACTCTTCTGCCTCTCTTACACAACTGTTTTGTGTTTGAAATCTTTGTTTTGTTGGAAATAGACACGAAATGCTGCAACGTTCACTGTAAAACCTCCTCTAGGGATCAATGAAACGACAGAACGTAACAGGAACAGGTATGAATGTACACAATGTGTGGCATGATGGGAATACAGGAACGTAACAATCCTGAGGAACTGTATGAATGTATGTACGTAGTGTGACGGAATGCAGAAGAAGCGCATCGTGTAACAATATGAAGGAATGTTGTGTTTAAAAAAAAAAGGGAAAGAAACAAGCAGTCATGGCTGAGACAAGCTGTGAGTTCTGCAGACATGGCTAGGTCTATGTACACAGCGTCCATCGGCTCATAGTCACATGGGCGCCGAGGAGGGGGTTACTTACACAGGGGGATTAAAGCCAGTTCTCAATCGTAAGTCAACGAATAGGAAATCACATTGTATTCTTCATTGTTAAAGCTCGCATACTGTTCTGCCATTTATCCAGGACTGAAAAAAACCCAACGATATCAATGACACCAAAAGATGTGTTTTAACCCATGAAAATATAACATTCGCACAAAAGGAAAGGCATGGAAAGTATAGAATTATATCATATTATATGTATGTGAACAGAAAAATACAAACCAATATACAGGTAACTACATAACGACACATAACTCAAGAAACTGTGTACAATCAAATATATCTTTGGCAAACTGAATATGAACGCGATGATAAATCAAAGTACATTTGAACCACTTGCTTGCTCTCTTTCTCTCTCTCTCTCTCTCTCTCTCTCTCTCACACACACACAACCGAGACACACTTTTCTCACCTGGCTTGTCACTCAGATCAGACAAAGACCAACATGCCAGTTGCATCGCAAATAGATGCATAAAGTAGCAACAAAAGTTAGTCAACCGTCATCTAACAACAACCCCCCCCCCCCCCAAATCATAACAACAAACCTGACCACTGCATCAGCCTGTTAACCCAAAAAACCCGCGCACCTCAAAGTTGGAAAAGAAAAAAGAGGACATTTTTAAATCATGAACCGGGTGCATGTGTATCTTTGCTGCAGATCTGCATCTCTTAACACCCCCGCACTCCCCAAAAATCAAAATCAAAACAACACCCCCCCCCCAAAAAAAAACAACCCATCAAACAAATCCCAAACAGATCCCAACACGACCGGTGACTTAACTCTTACACAATATGAGAGATGTTCAACAAAGCAGATCTAAGACAAGACTGTACTAGCCTGTCCACGAGAGGGGCGCTAAGACGAGGGACTGCCAACCTGGAGACCATTATTCCCCCCTGGGGAACAGCCCATGAAATATGAACCCATCAAAACAACTACTTTTACACACTTTTTGCCATCAATCCTGACTCAGGATTGTTTTCTTTCAACTTTTTCTTTTCTTTTGGATGAGGAGGTTATTGACTTTAAAAAAATAATTAAATTCTCAAAAATGTTCGTTTAATTTAGACTTGAAATTAGATTCATATACGTTTTTAAAACCTTTTTCTTTAAATCTGGATTCACAGATGCTGTTTAAAAAAACAATTAAGACTCCAAACCGTTTCCTATAAATCTACACTTAAAATTGATTTCTCCTAACTGGATTTATAGCGGTTTCTTGAATTCGAATTTTCATTGAGCATAAATAGCCGTCAAAATCATCAGAGAAATCCAAAGATGTGTTCATAGGTTCTAGCTGTAAATCTTTCCCCTTGAGTGTAACACGTAACAGAGATGTTATTTCAGAAATTTTGGACTTTGAATGACTCAACGATGACACGACTTGTAATGAATGACCGTGAGGTGTCGGTGATCACAGTGCATGCATCAGTGACGTCACGCAGGCAAGCAACTCGTTATAGTGCTATTCAATCTGTGAGGTGCGAGGGAGTGGGAAGCCAGACACACACACACACACACACACACACACACACACACACACACACACACACACACACACACACACACAAGGACAACACACCCACCCTATACATACCAAAATCTCGTCCTCATACGCCCATATATATGAACATGAGTATGCACTAACTTCTCTTCACTCGAATTAACATACATGCTCCTTTATCACCCACACACTCTCTCCCCCTCTCTCTCCATCCCCCCCCTCCGAACACACACACACACACAAACAAGCACTCAAACCCATCCACAAAAAGAAGGCAAGAAGTAAACGAGTTATATTTAACCAAACCAACAAGAAATTCTGGTGGACACATCAAAAACAGACACCGCCGGCCAAATCAAACAATGTATAGTACACGGTATCCATCAGGACTGTGATATGTTAGGAGATAAACAGGGGTCTATTAGTAGATGAAGTGTATAAAGACAAGGCTTACAAAAACAACTGCGTATATTATTTGTTTCATAACAACGGTGTGCACTTTCTCTTGCGGAGCACTGCACTCACAGACGTTCATCAAAGAGCTCATCGCACACGGGGCAAGACATACGACAATCATGTATCAAATGAGAGACAACCATGAATCACTCAAGTGTCAAACGAGGACAATCATGAGTCACAAGGAACAATCATGTGTAAAAAGAGGGTCAATCACGTGTCAAACAAGGGACAATCACGTGTCAAACAAACAGTATCAATCATGTATCCAAACGAATATTAATCATTATGTGTCAAACAAAGGACAATCATGTGCCAAGCAAACATCATCAATCACGTGTCCAAACAAGATTAACACATGTGTCAAACAATGGAGTGTTGTAACAACAATTGCGGCGTCAACCACCCTGACACTCTCCACCCGTAGCTGTCTTTACCCAGAATTTTGTACCGACATATCACATTATTTCAGTTGATCAATATATTATGGGAGGCAGCGGGGTGAAATCAGGTGCTAGGCAAAATAAGGAAACTGAAGAAAATGGCATTTTCCTGTCGTTTGGCAATTTTTATCATTTTTTAATTCTTGGATAACACCTTTTAAGTTCATTTAAAAACACACTTCTGTATGGATTTTACTGAAAAACATTGATTTAAGATACAAAAATGTCGATTTTCATTTTCCAAAGACTCTGAAGCTATGGAATTGACCAAACTTTGGTGGCCACTTTCTCTCTACCTTCGAAAGCGGGCGACCCCGACTTGCTTCATTCGCCAATATCTCCACTTTTAATCCAGATAAATTACTATTTTCTAAATTGAAAGGAAGAAAAATGAACACGCATTAAGATGACACCAATAACTTCACATGCCCAACAATTGACGAGCGCCTGATTCCACCGCGGTGTGACCCAATTGGATTTCATGCTCTTAGCAAATGACAAGAAAAAAGAAATGCGTAGGGAAAATAATGAAAAGGCTTTGTGGGAAGTGGGTGTGGGGTGGGGGTTTAAGAAAGAAAACAAGAATTGAAAGAGAGGGAAGAGAAAAAAAGAGAGAATGAAAATGAGAACGGAGAGAAGAGAAGAAAAGGAGAGAGATAGCTGATGAAGAAAATCATATCACAGAAAAAATACAACGCTTGGCCAAAACCTGCACAGCTGGGACAAAAAGGAAGGGATGATCAGAGCATCCGACTCCTGGTGGTCACTAAGAGAAGATGGCAATAGCTACCAGTACTCGCTTCTAGACCACACACATGGCCACTGCTAACAGTTCATCTATTCATTCAATTTACTATTTTCATAGATACATATGCTCCTTTCTCCATACTTCTTTAAAAGGGGTCACTTTCTCAATTGGTAAACCTTGGGGAACTTATTAAAAAAAATCTTTTCTTTCTTTTGTTTTTGGTTCAAGGTCAAGGTCAACAAACACGGCAGCAGTGGTAAGGAATAGTGAGAAAGTCACTTGAGAGAATTTACAAAACTCGCAGTTTAAGGTCATCAGCTGACAAAAAGAAATTTATTTTACCATATATGAAACTTAAAACAATGGGTGAAAGGGCATTTGAATACCAAGGCCCCAAGATCTGGAATGCTTTACCAAGTACGTTGAGAGAAATCAAATCTTTTGATTCATTCAAATGTCAGCTGAAGTCGTTTCTGTTTTTTAATTAATAAGATGAATATTTGGAATACTTTTCTTTAGTCAGAACACAACGTTTCATGTTACTGTTGTATGTTGTACTGTATTGTAAAGCGCTCAGAGCCTGTGTACTTTATTCGGGGTTGAGCGCTATATAAATGTCATTTATTATTATTATTATTATTTAAAATAATTCAAGAACTGAATAAGAAGCGAGCTGCCTGCATGTAGTAGATTTATATTCAATTCAGCGTAGATAAATGGAAAATGTTTACAAAAGTAAAGCATTAATTAAGACCGAAGAGCATGTATTGGTGAAGCTTTGTCTAGTTATATCATAACAGTAACATGATGACAATATGTTTCAGAAATATGAATGGAAGTATCGTTTGAGTCTACGTACCTCATTAAAGCAGTTCAAAAGACTTAAAAGTCCACGGTCCATGGTAAATGAAACTAATGTAGCACTGCGAAATTTCATGAGAACCATCGAAAGACCTTCACTATCACACTTGACGCATTTTAAGAGTTAGAACTGGCTGTCTAGTTTCAATTAAAAACAGATAAGACACAAAAAAAACAACAACAACAAAATTTGAGAAAGACTGCAGTTGACCAAACATGGTATGGTCTTACAGAGACACAAATTTCATTTTGATCATCATTTGTTCATTTTTTTCCCAACTTCTTGTTCATATCATGTAAAACCCCCCCCAAAAACCAACAATAAATGAAAAAGAAATGTACAAAAGAAGAAAGTACAACCACACTGCATGAACACAGGCTGTGCAGCACACAGTGAGGGTGGGATTGGCACACAGCAAACGTGTTGTTGCAAGTGTTGCTGATGATAATAATGATGACAATATGAGTATGATCAATGATGTACAGAACTGGAGGAGAGAGATTGGGTGGGTGGAGGGGGGGGTACAATCATGTATGTACCAGGGGCAATATAGAACAAGCAGAGGGTGAAAGAGTTAAAAGTTGGAACACTTCTATTCCAGAGAGAAGATAGAGGGTCGACTGAGGTAAGATGGTGGCTTGGAGCATGAGTACAGCGTGTGAGGAGGAGTAGAAGGAAAAGAGGAAGAGGAAGAGGAGGAGGAGAAGGTAAGTCACCAACATAGAGACAGGAATCAACAGTCTGTCAGTCTGTAGTAAATGTGATAGAAAGAAGTATGAGGGCAGAAGAGACAAAGTCATGATAATTGAGCTGGGACTGCAAATGATGACCATGATGAGAATAACGAGGATGATGAGAATAATGATGATGGTAATAACAAGTGAGGTTGATGGTAACATTTGAAATGTGATGAAAATCGAGGACTGCTCACCCCGAGTGTTGTAGTTTTCCGACAGAAGACGAAAGAAAAAAAATTTAAAAATAAAAAATAAACCGGACACATGTAAGGGGGAAAAATGGCCTCCAGGGTTCCTGCTGAGTTGAGACAAATTAAAACTGTGATAACTGACACAGAGGCCGTGGCACCTTCCTTCCCACCGCCCGTCGGTCCATCAACCTTTCCCTCACAACGCGCGTGTGGTGAGACACGCATGCCTCGGCACTGATGCTAACTAGAAGAAAAAAAAAAGCTCTTTACACGCAAAGCCATCAAACTTCACATACAAAATAAGTCGACATCAGAACATCAATTTGTTGTGTACAGTCAAATAAACTAGCAAAGCATCAGTGGATGTACAACCAGTAGGCTATCTGATCTATTCCTTTCTACGTCCACCATCAACACCAAACTGTTGAAGTCACCATCATGTCTGAACATTGAGGTGCACAATCATTTAGTGTCGCACTACCAGGTAATCCTACAGTCTAGATGCCCCCAAAATGTAGGGCTTACTGTTGAAGAAGTGAGTCTCACAATGGCCTCAGTTCTAAAATACTGACGTGCAAGTCTGTTTGACAGGTCAGAAGTAACTGACTCACCAGTAACGCACTAAGCATCCTGCACAAGTAACACACCACACAGGTACCACGAGTAATGACTCTCGTAGATAGCATGGGTGACATACAAGATTAGGAATTTACCAGAAATTTACATTGTACTTCAAATGACAGTTTTCATCATAACTTTTTGGTTATAAAAAAAATCAGTATCAGAATTCGCTTCAGGAAAGACTGGTACCGGTGGGATACAAAATATGAAGGCTTTCTCTACCCAGATTTGGTTTCAGTAAACTCCACTAGACTGTAGGATTACCAACAACACTCCAACCATATCTTAGCCTAGCCTTAGAGGCTAGAAATGGTGAAGCAATGATTTAAAATACGCGGTGAAACTCGCTGCATCAAGCTACATTATTGAAGCTTGTAGCGTCAAGCTACAGTGGCGCAGACAAGAGCCGTGGTGAGGGAAACAATGAAGGAAAAACCGTGAGAGAGAGAGAGAAAAAAGTTTGCGGCAGCCACTGCCAGGAGATCTTCAGTTTCCATCGTAGCGCTGAACCCCTTGGCCGAAAAGTCAGATGTTTGGTAAGTGGTGGTCGAACCGCGGCTTGGGTTTACTGGCTTGGTGGTACTTGGGGTTGGGGACGGGAGACGGGGATGGATTCATAGCCAAGTTTGGCAACTGCGGCTGTGAGGAACAAAACACAAAGAGAAAAACAACGGCTATAAGTGATTTATGCCCCAATCTACACGATCTTGATCATTTAACCCACTCAGTACCGTAACGGATCTAGATCTACAACTCGGCTGATTTTATCTTCAATTATGAAATACAGTCAACACACACAATAAACAAGTAATTTTTAAATTAAAATTTATTCATTTGTGAAGAACTTGTTTCAAGATTTTTTTTGATCAATGGATTGGTTATTTTATAATGATTTTTTCAAAATACCCACTACATTACAAACATGGATTTATTCCCCTTTGCGTGGTCCTGAGCCATCTTCCTACTGGAAATCCAATGGTACTGAGTGGGTTAAGAGGCTAACAAAGATAACAGGACTCCGTTCATCTCCAAACAGAAATGAGATTTGAGAAAAGAAAAGCACAGGAAGCACATCAACACATAAACAGTCATTTTGTGCCCGGGATGAACAAGAGAGACAGAAAAAAACAAAAAACCAACAGAGAATAAAGAAAGAAATAGGACCTGTTAGTGGTGCCATACACCCAACCACGAGTGAAACCGGTTTTTTAGATTTCGTAAGAGTTTTACGGCACTTGCAACACAATAAGGTCATATAAGTGCAGAAGATTAGAGGTGTTACAAGAGAGCAACAAACACAAAAAAGAAGGAGGGGAGAAAGAGACGATAGATTTTTTAATAGGAAAAAAGGAGCAAACCACACCATAGCACCTGGTTTATAACTTGTGTTAAAAAAATTGATCTAGCAACAAACTGCACCCATTTTTAACATCCTCACACAGCTAGATTCGAGCCATGGCATTCACAACAGCAAAACCCAGCATCTTTAGTGTAACACTTGGGCACTTCCACACAATACTCTTGAAACTCATCTTAACTTTAAAAAAAATAGCAAACTCCATTTGTCCACCAATTTCCTCAAAGTCACCACCCTCTAAACACTTACTTATACACTCGTCCACTTGCACACACACACACAAACTGCCCTGACATTACTGACCAACTCACCCCAATCACAAACAGACAAAACTACAACAACACACAGACAGACATCAACTGACTGAAGCACCCACCCACCCACAGACAGACAAAATCTCCCCTGACACACCGACAGACCCACCCCACTCACAAACATCACAACACTGCCCTCACAAAGCAACAGACACGAACCCACTCACAAACAGACAACGCAGCCCCCACCCACGAACCCACTCACAAACAGACAACGCAGCCCCCACCCACGAACCCACTCACAAACAGACAACGCAGCCCCCACCCACGAACCC